AGTTTATGGACTGGAACTGCCAAAATAATATGCTGACGACTTATTTTATTACATTTCCAATAGGTTGGGGACCCCAAATGTAATTTTCGCATTCAGTTTTAATTCTTACCCCTATTCTCCACCTGCCTCGCCGTACCAATTTGTGCGTTGAGTAGTTTTAATATTACGTAGTCAGAATGTTTCAAACTATTGCTTACAACATCAAAAGAATAACTCGCATTTTACGCAGTTGATGGATTCATATATTAACAAATCGCTATCTTTACACGCGGTTTACCAAACGCCAAGTTACCCTTTATCTACTCAAAAACAAACTAGTGACTGTGTGGCTAATGGAAGAGGGAAATTAGCCATTATGTTTTAACTTGTACGTTAAAAATCAGACGTTAATATTATATGGACTAATAGAGTACCTATGTTCGAAAGTATGTTCATGTTCAATGATTTGGCCCTCGTTTGGGGCACATTTTTGAAAAAAAAAAATGCATTTTTACCGTTATGTGATGGGGAATATATAATTGAAAAAGAAGGAAAAATTATTGATGTGATGAAAAATATTATTTTATTGAAGAATGTGTGGTTAAAAATGAGTAGAAGAATGAAAATGAAAAAAATAATGTGGCTCAAAGAGGGGAACAAATTGAGATTCCCGTGAAATTTTAGTAACCAAAGTTGGAATTAGCCCTCGAGCTTTGTCAAATGAGTATTGGTCCGCCGTCTAATTTTTACTGCTCAATCAATAAAATCTAACATCTCACTGCAACTTTGAATTGTCGTGACCCCTCAACCTTGTAGTAATTTTTGAAGTGGAATTTCTAAAATTTTGACACCTCAACCTCGTAGTAATATTCCAAAATTTTGTTGAGGAGGACAATGTAAAAGGATGAGCCGCATCATTAGCGGCCCCCACCTACCATGTCCTGGGTTTTGGTGAAAGAGGTAAATCGCAGATTATGCCTCCAAGGGTATATGGTGGAATGTTACTTGTACACTTGTACTTACCCCAAGGCCAAATCTATATTTCAGGATTTGAAACCCTTAACGCGATAGTCTCAAACAAAGTTGGAGTTTTTCTACTTTCCCCTTTTACCACTTGGAGGTGTGTCCTGGGAGGGGGGGACAATGATACATGAAAAATGGGACGCATTCCGCTACTCTTGTCAAACACACGAAATTGGAGATTTGACTTAAAATATGTTTCATAAATTATTATTTTATTAACGTAAGAATTATTGTCAAAATAAAAATTTTAATTACTTTTAATTTGACAAACTAAATTTATTTACTGTCTTATCTTTTATCAATAACTTATTCTTATGGGTAATTTTGTTAAACAATCAAATATTTTTTTTAATTAGTTTTTTTTAATTTGAATAAACTCAAAAAGTTCATGTTTGGTAGGGATTAAATTCAGATTTTAATCTTAATTAAAATCGACAATTAATTTTAATTAAATATTTCATGGGATTCATAATTTTTCAATCACATATATCATCAACTTTTACCAAACTTTATTAAAAATCTTATTTTAATCTCACCCAATATGGGTAAAATATGCTCGGATATATTATTTATTTTTGAAATATTAAATAATTAGATCATTTAATTTTTAAATTTACACCCCGCCCCAAAAGAAAAACTTCTTTATAAGGTGTTTGATGGAGATTAAAATTAGATTTTTAGTAGATTGTGATAGAAATTTTTGAAATTTGTGGTTGAAAAGTTGTGGGACTCATAAAATATGTGGTTAATATTGATTCTTTGACTTTGATTATGATTTAAAAAATCAGATTTTAATCCTAACCAAACAAGGACTTAATATCAAATATACTATTTTCTTTATAAATACACACATTTATATGTAAAAAATTTTAAATATGACAAAGAACATATCGTACAAATGCCGCAAATCCCATTACATTGACTGCACAATGATTTGCCGAATAAATCGTATTTTATTAGTGGATTATTATGACAATCACAGATTAATGGAATTAGTCCATGCAAGTCAAGTCTTTTAATTGCTTACCTTAATCATTTGACAATTCAACACCATTCTTTATTATTAATTTGTTTTTTCTTAATTTTTGCAAATGCATTTCATACATACACAATTAGGTTGACTTCTCGATACCATGCACATGGGCAGACCTAGGGCGGGTCTTGGGGGGGGGGGGGGGGGGGCAAACTTTTTAG